CCCGTCCCCCCCCGGAGACAAGCGATGGGCGACATCCCCAGCCTCGTGAAAATCAGCGTCTCTCTCAAAATCCAGCCCAACGACGGGGCGGTGTATTTCAAGGTGGACGGGCAGCGCTTCGGCCAGAACCGCACCATCAAGCTGCTGACCGGGGCCAAGTACAAGATCGAGGTGGCTCTTCGGCCCGGCACCGTCCAGGCCACGTAAGTGCAGACGCCCCGGGGCCGCTCCCCCGGCCCTCCCTTCCCTCCTGCTTTATTTTTAGAGGTTTAATATTTTTTCCTGGCAATGTGACAGCACGGGGTTTCCGTGATTTCTCCCTCCCCGCCCTTTTGCTTTGGTGGCTCCGTTTCTAGGTCCCTGGCCAGCTGTTACCACTGCTTTTCCCGGCTGGCTAGGGAGAGAGGCCGCGTTTGGGAGATGCTTCCTTCCCTCTCCCTCCCCTCCTTCTCCTCGAGCTCTTTCAAGCCCCGCTCCGTTTCTCCCTCCTTCCCTGGGGCTTGTCCTGGAGGCAGAGAGAAGAGGTAGGTCCCTCTGTCCCTGCCTATCAGTGCCGCACCGTGCCCGAGTATCGCTGCAGCACGACAGGGACTGGGACCGGGGAGGATGCAGATGGGGACCCGGCTCTGGGTGGAGAGACAGCCCTGCAGAAGGGATATGACTAACCTCTCCCCAGCTACTCGAGATCAGATCTCTCCTGCCTTTCTACACCTTCCCTGGATGAGGCAGAACCCTGACATTTTTCAGGAGCCCCAGTGAGTCAGCAGCACCTGCAGGTCTGATAAAATCCCTGAAGTATCCCCCAGCACAGAGTCTGGCTCCATACAGCTAGGGAAGGGGACGTGCAGGGCTGCTGAAATGCCAGATCCTGTCTCTTTGCAGGACAATGGGCATCGGGGGCGTCAATGTCCCACTGGAAGAGATATCAAGGGATGCACAGGTGGCCTCTTACACGGGGATCTATGACACAGAAGGGGTGCCCCATACCAAGAGTGGAGAGAGACAGCCCATCCAGGTCAACATGCAGGTATGTGGGTTCTCCAAGCATGGCATGGGAAGACAAGGGAGGGCAGCAGGGGATTGACCTCCAGAGAGGAAATTGTGGAGGTGAAGTATTTCAGGGCAAAGTTTGACCACAGCTGCTGCACTCCCCTCTGCTTTGTGTCAGTAAGACCGCAGGCCAGGACATAGCTGGAAAACACAAGCCTTGCTTCCCCAGGGAAAGCTAAGAGAGCAGTAAGGGCCAGGAAGTAGTCGGGGGATTTCTAGAGATTCCCACAGCCTTTTAGGGTACTGCAGGGAAAAGAAATAGGAACTGAACTTCTCACCTTTTCTGTAGGGCATATTACAGACTTCAGGAAATTCTCCCCAAGTTCCCTGGCTAGAAATCCAGTCCCAAGCTGTTGGCACACAGGGACCCACCACACTCCCCCAAAGGCTGTTTTCTCCATTTATTTCCCTATAAGCTTCCATTATCACATTATCTCTGCATCCACAAGCTTAAGTTCTTATTCAAGTATCTCCTCACCCCAACCTTAAAGAGAAGCTCCAAGAGCCAAGGTACATGCCACGGCCACAAAATGACATGACAAAAGCTCAAGCCCATAAAGCAGCAGGGCTGACAGAAGACAGGAAGAGCAGCAGGCAGATTTCCACAGATCTCTCTGGGTGGCGCACTCAGGGTGCAGAGGGAGATTTGGTTTACTCTGGCTTTTTGGGGTTCCCTGCCCACACCAATTACAGCTGTGAAGGATTCTTGCTATTTTTTCTGTGGATCCTGTACCAAAAAGGGGAAATGGGCCAGTAAGCCATCTTCATCTGAAGCTCTCCTAAGGGTCTGTTGCAATGTATACAAGTTTATGACTTTGCCAAGCCCACTAGATTTCAGCTTTTTCTCACATTTGTTCACTGCACTCAAGATTTCATCTTGATCTTTATCTTTGCCTTCTAACTCCCCCCCAAATCATTATTTAGCATGGCAATCTCCTTCTGAATAAGAACTGTAACATCTCAATTTGGAGGTTTCAATAATTACAACATGGGTAACTTAATTTGGAGACCCACATCACATTAAAAGTTACCACTTCATAATCCTAGGTTAATAATACTACCATGAAATATTTGTCCATGTTAATCACTTTTCCATACAGTCACCTCCTTGGAATACCCAGGAAATCCAAACACCCAGAATGACTTCTCAGCCAGCAGAACAGGGCTGCTGGTTGCCACTTTTTGAGTACTGCTGTTATATCTCACAATGTTCTTGTACCAGGAGGGGAAAGGGCAATGATCCCCCCAAAAACAGCTGCTTTGACTGAGGCATCCCTATTTTGATAGCCACTTTTACCCTTAAGTGTAGCACTGATGTGAACTCTGAAAATCTTGAAGTTTAACTTCTCTTATGGAGAAAACCAAGTTAAAACACAAATGAAGTAATTCCAAGAAATGCCAGGAGGGTCTGATTTTCAGATACATGCTCTGAGATAGTTTGTTGCAGCATCAGAATGAGTAACCACAATATTTGTCCAAAGAGTCGCTTTTACAAATCAAATCCTGAGATATTAAACATGAAGCTAGGATCTTAGGCACTTCCTCAACCCCTTTTAGGATCTGATCTTGATAGATGGGTTCTTCAGTAGACTTCGATGTCCACAGTGGATACTTTCAATTATTTATTAAGGCAATCCAACAGGGATTTACACATTTAACTGCTTAGCTAGACAGAGCCATAATAGATTACGGGAACCAGCCTCAGACACCTCAGCTTGAAAACTGTTTCTAATACTTACTTCCTAAATCTTCAAAACTGGGTTTACTGCATACAGCTTTAAATTTTCCTATTTCCTCCAACTATGAGGAACTTCAGCCTTCACTTCCTTTTCTAGAAAAGGCAGGATCCTGATGCATCCTAGGGAGATAAAGACACTATTTAAGGCATGAAATCTGAATTCACATTAGAAACAGACTGTAAGGTCAGTCCTGCAGTTATAAACTAGTCTGATACTGGCAATCTAAAGCCTGAAAGATATAAAGTCCACAAGAATTTATTTCCCATCTGCTTTAAAACTTAAAAAAAAATAATTCTTTGTGCTCCTACTTTAACTGGCTGGTAGGCAATGACCCATTACAGCCATACATACGTACAAACAAAACAACAATCCTCCTTCTGAATTTCAGAATCTGAAGACGCATTTCTGTTATACAAATTCTCAATTAAGTGCACTATCCAGAAACTGCTAAACTCTCCAGTAAATGGTGTAAACTAAACTAGAAATCTCTCTTTGGAACTCATTTTATTTTTGGTCAGACTAGACTAAGATTGACTAAAGAAGCCTGACCTCTATGCCCAGTAAGCAAATTCAGAGGGAGTGATTAAATAACTATTCACACCTATAGTGCTGGATGACAGAGAATAGCAGATAGGGAAATAACCTGACCTACAAACAGTAGGACCATCCCTCCTGCCTGGGGAAGCCCAGATACAGGCCCAGTGGAGGAGCCAGAATTCAGCTGCAGGAGCCGTGGGAATTCAGGGGAGCTCTGAGGATGCCAAATGCTCATTATGCCACAGAGCTGCTGCATCTGCTAAGCACTGGGCTGAGGGGGAGGTACATGATAGTAGAAAAGCTCTGCAATTAATTCTGTCCTCCAGGAAATCCACAGAAGGCAAACAACACAGCATAGCTCAGCAAACTGGGTCATTGCAGGAAGATATTATTTGTTTTCTTCCTTTATCTTGTTGAAATTCAAATCCTCTATACATTAAGGAAACAAAATGTTGCTCTTGTATCATACCATCTTCTACAAATTCTATTAGAAATGCCTTTTCTTCCTCAGTTTCCAGACTGAGGGTGGCTCATGCTCCTCTCTGATAATTTCTCTGCATGGATTGTGTACAGTAATATCCAATGGGCTTAACCTTGCATTATGAGTGTATCAGAATTACTATTGAAGATTATTAATTTAAAAAAAAAAAATCTTATTTAAGGTTTTAGTTGCTGTGAAAGATAAAATAGCCTGTACATCTCATTCTCTCTTTGTCAAAGAAGTAGCAGAAGTATTTCAGCTACTACTTTAAGGTAACACTTGGAACTGGAGCCAAATAAAAACCTTTCACCAACAGCACACAGTAACTCTGCTGTTGTCACGGCTAAATTCAAGTTACCACAGTGAGCTGGGGGAAAGTTTAAAGCAATGTCGATTATGCATCAGCAGCTGACAAACCATATATATATTTATTTTTTTTTAAATCCAAAGTATGTCCTTCTGAGAAAACTGTATACAGAAGGAACTGACTGCAAGTTGGGAAGACTCACTGTGTAAAAGGGTTTTCATACTGACTTTGCAAGTGATTGTAACAGGCAGATGATCAAAGGTCAGCTCCCAAGCACATGATGGGAATGAAAAATAGTCAAGTGAAGAAGCAGTCATTAAAATGAGTGATGGAAATCTTTAAAAGGAAAAAATTTTGAAGAACAGAGTGTCCTTCAGTTGCACTGAATCCACTATCTAGTATCTTTTAACAACATAGCACAATCAACAAACTATACTACTGGGACCAACAGCAATCTGTATAGGCTTCAGACCCATACTCTGGACTTTCTGCAGCATCTCAAGGCACAGGAAATAAAATTTTACATCACCATCATAACTGAAGTCATGATCTACCCCTGTATGCCTCATTTATATGTTTTTTTTCTGATATTGCAAAGGTATCTAGCAATGGCTTCAAAGTAGTGAGGTGTTTCATTTTACAGAACTTAGTATAGCCATAGTCTCATTCACTTAAAAGCTGCAGACAACTTGCAGTCAATGTCTTCACTGTATTAGACACTTAATTGCTAACATGCACTGATTATCTCCTTCCTAGCCTTATATCTAAGTTTGAAAAGCTGCATTATCACAGTACAACTAGCAATTACATAAATGGACAAAGGAGAACCTCTCTTGCTTATGTTTCATGTAAAATGCAGAACAGAATCCTAGGGAAGGAGTAAGTGGTCTAATAGCAGCATATCTCTATCAAGATACTGCATACATAAGGCTACTAAATATGGGGACATTAAATATTTCAGACAGAGCAAAAGAAAGCCTCCAGGTACAGTACAAAGGTGAAGTGCTGGCCTGAATCAATACAGATCACTGCTACATGATATGTGTATACAATCCACCTAGAGATCATTACGCCAACTATTGCTGTGTCATCTTAAGAAGGACAGTAACTTTGATTCTTGCTGTTAGTAACATTTATCCATATGGAAACTTGAATATTTTTAGTCCCTTGCATTTCCCAGATACAAGTGCAAGACAACAGTACATGGAGAATCTGATCCTTCATGTTTTATGTATGCCTAAGCATAAAAAAACTTTATGACTTTACAGCAGGTTACAGATCTTTAACATATTGACTTAAGGTAAAATAACTGTTACATCAGCTGTTTTATATTCCAGTTTAATAAGAGTGTTGTTTCCCAATAAGAGAGAGAAACCAACAAAATAATCAGCTCACTAACACTGGTATTCTGTCTTCCTCACAGTTTAATGACATTGGTGTTTTTGAAACAGTCTGGCAAGTCAAATTCTACAACTACCACAAACGGGATCATTGCCAATGGGGAAACAGTTTTGCTTGTATTGAGTACGAATGCAAACCAAACGAAACACGCAGTCTCATGTGGATCAATAAAGAGACCTTCCACTGAAGAAACGTAAAACCAATACTGCTGGACAATCTCCCCAATGAAAGATCTACCTTTTTAAACCAGCAAGAAGCCTTAACAAAGGCATAATATAACATTGCTTTGTTCCATAAGTTTCCATCAACTACATTGTATATACAGGTGGTGCCACTGAAATCTTCGCCTATTACTGTATTTTAAGTTTGCCATGGCATCTGTAACATTCTTTATCCATCATCCTGACAATACTGTAAAGTTCATGGGAAAGAATACTTGATAGCCTGGTAGAAAGTCATAAATCGTAATACTGTCGTAAGTATTTGCATCATGCCCACTAAATGGGTTCCACTAGATGTAGCAGTTTAGTGAAGTGTTTTGCTTTATTGCTTAGAATTTGGATGCAACATCACATTGGTGATTTCTGTATCTATATTTGTGTTCGCTCCTAAATAGGATTGCTCCTTCGAGCGTTTTGTCACATGTCATTCCAGTGGACAGTAAAAAGTGCAAATTATGGATATTTGTAGGTTTAGCTATATGGCAGCTACTACACCATTAATATTGTGCTTTCATACCAGGGTATTTGGAAACTCGTTCTCCCTTTTGTTAAGTGCTGTAAGATATTCTGTGATGTTTGTTAATTTACCAAATCTCGCAAAATAGAATTCTCTGTTCAATTTTCCAGTATCTAAAATAGCTTTAGGAAACTGTAAGAAACATGCTAACCTGAAGGATAGAAAAGCAATATATCAGAGACATTTAACACATGGCTAATATCTCGCTTAACATCATATAGTATTCTTGAAAGATACAGCTACCATGCCGAATTTAGTTCTTACAGGAAGAGTTACAACAGTAATCTCCTTTTTTTGTTTTTATGACACATTGCTCAAATCAGTGAAAACCTACAAGTCAACTTTTCCAAGCCTGACAAATGTATTATACCAAAATTGACAGCGTTTATACATGCATTGCACTCTTTCAAATAAAGATATGCATGTAAGTATATGCATGGTGATGATGACTAAAGGTGCTACATAAACACTAGATCGGTGTTTAACATATACAGACAAAAAAAAACCCCACATTTTATTTCAGTAAATAAAGCAGGGAAACAACTACACTGTTCCATCCCCAACTTGGGCTGAAGTAAGCTGTCAGTTCTTGCGTATCTGTTATTACCTTTGTGAATAATTTGTAAATTGTGTATCTAAATGGTAACTATGACTTTTGATCTTTGTAATAAAGGACTTCAACAATTTATTCTCTAGCATGACCATCTAAATGAATTGAAAATATTGTATCAAAAAAAGAAAGTCAGCCAGCAAAGGGTATGTATTCTGAGAATCCAGTCCAAAGCACCTCACTATTCTTTGCTCAAAACTACTGTTTCTAAGATATACAGATCCAATGCTCTAGAAAGCAGACAGTCAATGTGATAACACCCAACAGAGCTTATTGATAAAATTCCACTGCACTTTGTTGCAATAACAGTGTGAGAAATAGAGATTTAGGACAGACAAGAAGTACCAATTAAGTATTTTCTTCCATTGAATTATTAATAAAAAAGCTTGACTTTGCAAATTTCTACAGACAAAAGCCTGACAATGATGTAATACACCACTGGAACAGGAAGCTAGCGAGTTGCATCTCTACTCAGAGGCAATATTACACAGGAAAATTTCACTGCAATAAAATTCTAGAAATAATCTTCTGTGTTAATGTCTGTCTCAGGCTCTTTCTAGACTACAGAAAGAACTCTGCAAAATGAAAAAACTGAACTAAGCAAATTCAAACAAAACCCGTGTTTCAGACAGAAGTGTTATTGCCAGACCTTTAGCAGAAATTTCCAGATAACAGGCTTAAACAATACCAAATTTCCAGCTGTCAGTCAATTCCCTCTCTCCACTGCTAGAACATGATTTTCTTCAGCAACAGTCAGTATGCTTGGTCTATTTTGTTTGCACATATGAAGTGGAATCACATTAGCAAAAAAATATATGAGATTCATTAATTAACAAAGCAACCTCTGTCCTAGTAAAATTAAAATGTGTAAGACAAGCCTTCACTTTGAGTTCAACTTTTATGAAATCCTTGGCCCACAATGTCCTAGCCCTCCAGCATTTAAGAAAATAAGTGTTACAATGAATAAATTCAGCCTCTCCTTGCACAGGATGGCTATTATTCTCAGCTACCTGGAAGCACAATTTTCTTAAAGTAAATACATTCATATTAATGCCAAATAGGGTATCAATTTGATCATGACTCAATTATCTTCAGAGGTCACTTCCAATCCCTATGATTTCATGATCTGGCAAGCACTCTAACAATTCAGCTGAAAATCAGTTTGGAGGGTGGTCAAGAAAGAGCCTGCAGATGGAGTGAGCTGTTTTTAAAGGAAGGAAAGAACAGCCAGACCAAGTGTGTCTTGCAGGCTCCACATCCTGATACTGAATGTTGCTGCCCAGGACCTTAGCACCCCTTTCACAGACAGTGGCAGTGAGAAAAAGGATGAAGGCTTAACAGCTTATCATGGGGAAGGTGTAAATGGCATTTATCAGCAGCTATTCTACCCTTCTCCCCTGGATGAGGTTTAAGCATACAGAAATTAAGCTTTATTGTCTTTCATTAATCCTAAACAGAAGATGATTCACATGGTGTTTGCTGAGTATCCATACCACCATAGATGACAGTGCTGACACTCTGTATATGTAAAGCCAAATAGTTTAATTGACTTCCTCTTGCTCAGAAAGTGCTTTGCTAACACAGCAAACATTTACTCCTAGTAAAGGAGACCCAAGACTTTAGGTTCTCTGAAAGTAATATTTTTCATTTCTTTCATCCAGGACAACAGGCCTTCCAGTATCTGAAGGGGCTATGGGGAAGTTGGGGAAGGACTTTTTACAAAGGCTTGTAGTGAGAGAACAAAGGGTAATGGATTAGAACGTAAAGAGGGGAGATTTAGACTAGACATTAGGAGGAAACTCTTCACTGTGAGAGTGGTGAGACACTGGAATATGTTGCCCAGGGAAGCTGTGGATGCGCCATCCCTGGAAGTGTTCAAGGACAGGTTGGACAGGGTTTTGAGCAACCTAGTCTAGTGGGAGGTGTCCCTGCTCATGCAGGGGGGTTGGATCTAGATGCTGTTTAAGGTCCCTTCCAATCTAAACCATTCTATGATTCTATGAAATATTCATAAAACTTGAGTCACTAAAAAACTGTTGCTGTGACAGTTTGGTGCATGATTCAATCAGCAGTGTTTAATCTCCAGACAAGTTTGCTCTTTTACTAATTAGTATTTTCATTTTTGTTCAGAACAGGACACAATACACTAAGCTTAAACATGTATTTATTTTCATCCATTCTAGGGTCAGAAAATGCTGACAATGTCAATCCAGCTGAAACCACAAAGCATTAATACCTGAAGGTTTTATAAATGAGAGACTTTGAAGACTTTTCTAATTAAGTGTCCAGCCTTCATTTTTGTAAGAAAAATTTTTAAAAATATATACTGAATCTTCCAGAGTAACTTTTTCATCTCTATTTAGGTAGCAGTTAACAATTCCAGACTACTGAGTAAAAGGATCTAAGAGCAAGTTATTTGTCATTATTATTACAGTTTTGATTCTGCATAAGACTTGTATTACAACATTAGAGTTTGAACAAGGCTCTGTGTTTAGCCAAGCTACTACAAGCTTTGGTATCTCTTACCATCTGACTGTATCTGAAAAAGCAGTAATACTGTTAAAGTCTCCATGTCCTATTAACACAAGTCAGGTTTCACTGGCTTCAGCCAAGTCTCTCCATTGGTTTGCAGATGCAGTGGCCCTTACTGATTCCAGACTAGCAGAGTATCAGAAAAACTCCTTTATTACATTATTTCTGTAAAAGATTTGAAGAGAACCACTGTACAATGAAGCTGTAAGTTTTGTACAAGGCTTTTACATGCCAGCAGAGCTTCATTTCCATTTTGGTTAAGAATACTTGCCTCATTTGGAACGTAAAATTTTGACACACGTTCTGTGTTGAATGCTTCCATTCTTCTTGAGTCTCTGTGTAAAGCTTTGATTAAGTAAGGACATGGCACATTGTAAATCCTAACTCTGTTTGAGATCTGAAACAAGTGCTGTGGCTTTCATAGTTTGAAGCACTGAGCATTGCCTTAATAGCTGTGTCAGCCCTGAAGCACAAAGCAGTAGTATAATGAGTCTCATAACATTCATATTTTCCCTTAGCTCAACAAATCTCACATGCAATGACTGGAAAGTCCCCTTAGTGCAGCTCATCTGGATCTTTGGCTAGGAAGGACAGGCACTCCTGTCCACAGTCCTTCCAGGCTGCATGCTTGGCAGCTTTTGCCAGCATTCCTTGGACTGCTTCCTTTCCTCCTCCTCCTGAGACCAGGATTTAAGACTTCAAATCCCTGTAAGCCTTGGCTTTGAGCCTCAGGAAAAAAATGTTGCATCAACCCAGTAAGCGGCAAACCAGTCCTCTGCATCGTTTTCTCTATCCTTACATCAAAGTTGTTGATTATTTCTCTTATTAGTCAACACAGCTTAGTTCTGTGCATTCGGGAACAATAATCCCATGACTGACTTTATACATTACATATAACCTTCTCTGCCTCTTCCTGCAGAAGAAAGTCACAGGGTTTCCAACTGTATCCCTACTATAAATAAGAAGAAAATTACCAGCTGCCAAAAAAATAAAGAAGTGAAGTTGGACTACAGCAAATACTGCAGATGGTCACCAGTGGAGGTGCTGCAGCATCTGCCATTAAATACTGGAGAACGCAGACAACTACATAGATTTCTTCCACTGTGTTCTAACACTCACTGAATTTCTCTGTGTAATAAGATATACACAAGTGAGTTCTCCCTGCAATCATTTGAGCTCGTAATCTTTTGACCTGTGGTGAGTTGCACCACTCAGGTATTAGACCATAGACACAAAGAGTTCTTCATCAGAAACAAGGCTTAAAAGCAATGACAGATTTTCCATCCATGTTGATGTGAAAAAAAAAAAATAAAAAAAATTAATAGCAGCACTTTTGCACTGACCCAGTATAAGGCTTTGATATTCTATTTTTTCTTGTTTGGACAAACTTGAGTCTCAATGCTGCCATATACAAGTGCTTCATGTGCCATTCATAAGGCATTTGTTTCCCTCTTCCAGAAAGCAGACACTCCTACTCCATTTATTCCAAATATCAAGGAACAGCCTGGTATCCCATCCAGTAATTTCTGTAGTCTTTGAATAATCTTGAGAAGAAATAATAACCTATCAGTTGATGATAATGAAGACAGCACAGGCAAGAACCATACGACTGTACTGGAGGTTAAGATGGACCTTCTGCCCATTCTCAGCATGATAACTGCAATGTTAGGTGCCACCCTGCTTTCATGGGAATGCATTACTGTC